GGTAGAACGTGTAGAATAGTGCCTCCTCCTATTTGAAGGGTCCTGGAAAGAGCATTGCATTCATTGATAGTTCACAGATCTAAATGGGGGGCTCTGAGAAGGAAATCCGTACTTCCCACTTTACGCAACTGTTCTACAGAATGTGCTCTGGAACTTTGATTAAATGGAGTTCACTTTTTTCCCTTCCCCATTCACAGCAACTCTTAGATTTCCCAGTTTGAAACCTCAGCTGCACCCTGGGTTCCTCTGACTTTCTAACTGCCAGTATCAGTAAATCACCACGTCCTGTGGACTTTGTTTTCTTTGTTATTTCCATTGCAAACCCTAGGCCAGACCTGGCTTGCAAATGCTGATGCACTAGCTCATTAGGTGGTCCTCCTCACCACATTCAGTGTCTCTTTACTTCAATCCATTGTAGACAGTGTTGACGGATCATCTTCAGCTTTGGTTCTTAACTGCTGTCAACAACACACAGTGCTGTACCTCCATCAGCTAAAAAGTATGCCGCGAGTTATTTATAACTAATGCAAGGTCAATTTATAAGTGCTCTTTAATAAATAAATGAGAGTTGATTTAGTTATTCCTGTAATAGCATCATTTACTCCCCTTCAGGTGTTTTCCATATACTTTAAGTGGAAGAGATGTGATAAGAGTTATAGAAAAGTGTGAAGAATTATACATAATTCTGGTTCCCTCCACATCAATCTTGGTGAAGGGCAATGCCATTAAAGAAATACGAATAAAACCTCTGATCATGGCACGCTGGTATTCAGAACCATCATGGTTTTCCAATGTCTGCTAATCTAAATGTAAACACCTAGGTCTGGAATTCAGTTCCTTCCGTCACATGAACCCAACTAAATCTGTCCCACTTTAATAGTACATGCAAACGTTTGTTTGGCAACTATGGAATATTCCTAAACAGACCTCGAACATTTCCACTTTCCTTCTTCTGATGACATAGTTCTCTGCCTTAAACTGTCTTCCTCAATCCACGAAGCTTCCTCTAATTCTACAAACCAGAACACATTTCTCTTTTGGCTCCTTTCAGCCTTTGGAACCTATGAAGGCACAGACAAGATCTTAACAGTAGGGTAGGCATTCTACATCTAAAAATCCCAAATTGGAAATGCTTCAAAATAGGAGTGATTATAAAACATGAAATTAAAATTTGGGCTTCCTTTGCCTACTCTTGTCTGGAACTGGTCATCCCTTTCCAATTATACCCTCTTAGCACAATTAGAAAGCATGATATAAAATAGATAAAAATATAAGTATTTTGATACTTAAAGAATTTGTTAACAATATAAGAACTCACTTTAAAAAAAAAAAAAGGACCCAAATATAATTTACCTCTTACTCATTATTTATCAAAATGCTGTTGGTGATACCCTCCAGTTAGAAGGAGGGCTGCTGAGCAGGGCAGAGCCTCCATCCCTGGGACCGATGGCTTGATGAGCAAAGTGCTCTTCATCTCCTGCTTTTGCCCAGGTCTGTAATGTGTCAGGAAAACCTATAATCCTATTCTGGCAGCATTTCTCTAACAATTATTCTAACTGCCACTTTATTCCTCGTGATGCCATGAAAGGAGTAGCTGAAGGGAAGCTGCCAGCCCCCACTGTGCACACCAGCACTGCTGTGCACCCCACATTCCCTACCTCCCCTCTGACTACAACCCACCTGCGTGCATCCCACATCCCCTACTTCCCCTCTGACTTCCCCTCATGACTACAACCCACCTGCGTGCACCCCACACCGCCTACTTCCCCTCTCACTTTCCCTCATGACTACAAACCTACCTGTGTGCACCCCCCACCCCCTACTTCCCCTCTGACTACAACCCACCTGTGTGCACCCCCACCCCCTACTTCCCCTCTGACTACAACCCACCTACAATCCACCTACTTCCCCTCTGACTACAACCCACATCATGGGCTCCACCCACCTCACCTGGAGATTCTGAGGCCCACAAGAACCATGGAGATGCTAGCTATGCTCCCCCAAACAACTTAACTTCAGGTCCCATTCAGATTTCACAAAGAAGAGAAAATGGCAT